GGTACCTACAGTGGTGGCTCAAGGTTTTGACATTGAATTATTGCCTAAAATTGAATTATTTATCATATTATTCAAAGTTAGAAAAATGATTTCCGTCAAATCTGACTACTACATTTAGCGTAAGTGGGCATGTGCGTGGATCTGCCGCTGATCTAGTACTAGTGGGTACTCACTGTGTAAATTTATTTCTGTCACAGAAAGATTCATTCTTAATGTATATAACTGATGATATCAGAGGTCTTCATGTTGATGACTGAATATTTAATGTGAGAAATAATAAAAAAAATTAAAATGCTATTTTTGTCATTATTCAAGTTATATATTTGTCTCGGGTTAATTAAAAATGAGTATGTTACAGGAGGTTTTAATGAGAATTCCAGAAACAAATGGAAAAATCATTTTTCATAAAAAAATGTCCTTGCTTTGATTTTGGTAATATTTCAAATTTAAAAACAACTTAATTGATGTACATAGATTGAACAAAAAGTTGGCAGGAGTAACACTGATATGTTAAAATTAATCATTTAATCTTTCAATCAAATGACTATTTTCTATTCCACTTTTATTTTTGTGACATTGAGGAAGTACTGGTGTGTGTTTTCTTTTCTTATGACAAGAGAAAGTTTCGTGGAAGACGATGTAATACCATATATGGATGAGCGACGTCATCGGTTAATGTAATTTGCATAATAGATCAAATTAGCATAATACTAGTAAAAGCCAAAAGCGAGGCTGAACTTTGTCGCCACACCAGTTTGCTCTTGGAAGGCCGCTGCCCAAGTCTTCCAAGTTTTTAATCTGTTTTTTTACGATGGCTGAGCGCAACAAGAGGGCTCTTCTGGATTTACTGAAACGACCGGAGAATGAGGTCTGTGCTGACTGCGGCTCAACAGGTCTGTGCTTCTGATTTTGTGGTAATCGATTAGTTTATCTCGTCGGCAGACCGATTTGTGAGGTCTGCGTGTATCAAGGACTTTATGATAGGTTGTCCGTGCCCGGCCTAATCAATCGTATAACGTACCGAACTCAGAAAAACCGCGCCCACGAAACATAAAACTTCGAAATTGACAAAATATCTGGATCGCTGTAGTTAAAAGTATTGACAAATATTCATACATGCGTTCACAAACTTCACAGGAAATTATTCCGATCAGGAGCTGAAACGGTAAATCGGTAGCGGTTCCTTCTACCGAGTATAGCTTTATGCCACTTTACTTCCGGGTTACCAATAAGCAACTTGAGTACGTCCATAATGAAAATTAACACTGTTTATCGATTAGATTCATTATTATATATCTCATCAAAGTATTAAATTCCGTATTTCTTGTGGTTAAAGACGCGACTTACTGTATTTTACCACTAGACCGGTGATCCCGGTTCCGATCGACCCCCATACTGAAAAGTCGTGAGTGTTGTGAGTCATTTTAGTGTGTATTGCGCTACATTTCAAGACAGCATGCCAGTTTCCTCGTAATTTGACAATTTTCAATATATTATGCATTTCTAAAAATAACTTTGAAAATCAAATATTCTGCTTGAAACAATTTTGGGTGAGTAGATGTTGTATTCAATAATTCCTTCGAAAAAAAGGAAAAAGATTTGTTCATATATTATTATGTATAGTTATTCTTCCCTATTGTCTCTCCCCTAAGGTTTAGGAACATAATTAAATAAACCATGTTCATGAGGGCAATATCACATTTTGTTGCCTGCCCAAGGGATGTTAGTCATTTTAATAGTCATATTGAAGGATTCATTATTGTTTAAATAACAGGACAGTAATCAAAATGTGGCAAAAAATGAGCAAGAATACCAGGTTACCAACATCTCCATCTTGGCCCTGTTATTTTAAACAAGAATAAATCTCCCATAGTGCCTTATTGAGATATTTTTGAGGTGAAGTGGAACGCATTATTGCATAGACCCTATCTGAATTCAATGAGATGCTGTGGGAGATTCATTATTGCGGTTATAGTTTATTTGGAGGACTTTTTGTTGAAATGAATTCTTACATTATTAGGTTTAATGAATGTGTGAATTTGTTTATGGTCATTTATAAATATTTACAAAACATTTACTGTATCCCAAAAGATGATCACGCTTCATTCAAATCTTAAAAAGATGCTTTCATTGACTGTAAAAACCATTTACGGGCCATTACCCACAAGTCTTTGCAGGGTTTCCTTAAATATTGGCCATAAACACAAAACATAGATCCCATCAAATTTAAAATGCTCAAAATTATATAGGGATTCGTTCGCTGGAATAAATTTAAAAGAATGAAAGTACGAGCAGTACCATTATTTTTAAATTACAAAAGCGAGCCAGTACTGTCAAAGGAGAGGTTAAAAATTAAATGTTCACAGTGGAGTTCTATCCAGACAGTAGTCATCCACTAAGGCTTTTGATTGGTCCTTTTCAATAACCATTTGAAATTTATAGACATATATGAATATTTTACATAAAACAAATTCTTGACTTCATAAAACCGAGTGTAACCTGATTTAAAGCTATAACGTTATAAAAACCTCCAATTCTGATCAATAAGGGCAGTGCGATGTCCTTTATTTCAATTGTGTTACCATTGAATGAATACTTGCACATTCACTCGAACAGAAAACACTAATGTCTTCTACTTACACATAGAGCATTCCTAAGCAAACAAAAATCCACATTCAGATGAAAACGACTCAATTGTTTTAAATGTGAAAGAATCAAGATGTATTAGTTGTTTAAACATCCAAATGTGCAAAAAATGTTGCATATATTGTTGTTTTATACACAATTTATTTCCTCAGTTCGTGCTTTGATCTAGTTCTAGTACCGCCCCGTTATCGCATGGTACCGACTAAGCAATGAGAATGCATCATTTCAATTTAAAGTGATATTGCCCCTAGTACATGTATATAACACGCCTATTCTTTACAGAACCAGACTGGGCTTCTTATAATCTGGGTGTTTTCCTCTGTCTTGATTGTGTGGGAGTACATAGAATGTTAGGTACTCACATCAGTAAAGTAAAATCACTACGGCTGGATAACTGGAATGACGACCAGGTGGAAGTAAGTTCATTTTTCAAATCTCAACACAACGATCATATTCTCTGTCTACAGACCCCGATTGGGCTTCCTATAATCTAGGCGTGTTTATATGTAACGATTGCGCTTCTATGCACAAAATGCTGGGCCACCATATTAGCAAGGTCAAGTCAGTTAAGTTGGATGAATGGTCTAATGAGCACGTTGAGGTCAGTACAAGTGTATCAAGCGTAGATTTCTGTAGATGGCTGCTTTATTCAAACACAAACATGCATGTAATGATATCGTATATTATTAGTTTCATCAGGGGAATAAGGATGTAGTTTAGTTACAGTTATGTGATACTCTTTATACCATCTTAGTGCCTCAGAAGGTCCTACCATCTTGAACATCTCTCTCATATCACCACCTTACACAGTGATCTCGTATGGTATGAAAGTTCCCTAATAGGATGCTATAGTGCCCTCATCCCACCATATTGAATAGTTCCCTAATAGGATGCTATAGTGCCCTCATCCCACCATATTGAATAGTGTCCTCATAGGGTATTATAATGCCCTCATCTCATATATATTGAATAGTGTCCTCATAGGGTATTATAATGCCCTCATCCCACCATATTAAATAGTGCCCTCATAGGGTGCTATAGTGCCCTCATCCCACCATATTGAATAGTGTCCTCATAGGGTATTATAATGCCCTCATCCCACCATATTAAATAGTGCCATAATAGGGTGCTATAGTGCCCTCATCCTACCATATTAAATAGTGCCCTCATATGATGCTATAGTGCCCTCATCCCACCATATTAAATAGTGTCCTCATAGGGTATTATAATGCCCTCATCCCACCATATTAAATAGCGCCCTCATAGGATGCTATAGTGTCCTCATCCCACCATATTAAATAGTGTCCTCATAGGGTATTATAATGCCCTCATCCCACCATATTAAATAGTGCCCTCATTGGGTGCTATACTACCCTCATCCCACCATATTGAATAGTGTCCTCATAGGGTATTATAATGCCCTCATCCCACCATATTAAATAGTGCCCTCATAGGATGCTATAGTGTCCTCCAATCGTATTGAATAGTGCCTTAAAAAGTGTTATAATGTCCTCATTCCACCATATTGAATAGTGCTCTTATTTGGTGCTATAGTGCCCTCATCCCATCATTTTGAATAGTGCCCTCATAGGGTACTATAGTGCCCTCATTCAATCATATTTAATAGTGCCATCATAGGGTGCTATAGTGCTCTCTTAGGGTACTATAGTGCCCTCATCCAACCATATTGAATAGTGCCCTCGTAGGGTGCTATAGTGCCCTCATCCAATCATATTTAATAGTGCCCTCATAGGGTGCTATAGTGCCATAGTACCCTTATCCCACCATATTGAATAGTGCCCTCATAGGGTACTATAGTGCCCTCATTCAATCATATTTAATAGTGCCATCATAGGGTGCTATAGTGCTCTCTTAGGGTGCTATAGTGTCCTCATCCCATCATATTGAATAGTGCCCTCGTAGGGTGCTATAGTGCCCTCATCCAATCATATTTAATAGTGCCCTCATAGGGTGCTATAGTGCCATAGTACCCTTATCCCACCATATTAAATAGTGCCCTCATTCGGTGCTATAGTGCCCTCATCCCACCGTATTGAATAGTGCCCTCATAGGGTGTTATAATGTCATCATCCCACCTTATTAAATAGTGCCCTCATTCGGTGCTATAGTGCTCTCATCCCACCGTATTGAATAGTGCCCTCATAGGGTGTTATAATGTCATCATCCCACCTTATTAAATAGTGCCCTCATTCGGTGCTATAGTGCCCTCATCCCACCATATTGAATAGCGCCTTCATCTAACCATCTTGAATAGCCTCCTTCCTCTCTCTCATATGAAATTATAGCTTCCTAGTGCCAAGGAAAATCTTTATTATTCATAACTTTATTTGAGTAATTCTTTCCTTCCTGGGAAAAAAAAACAAAATAAAATAAGTGGTACATGTATTTATAAAATAAAATCAGAATCTGAATCAGAGGTGTGTAAAAGTATTCATAGTGAATTCATCCAACAAAGTTTGTAGATTGCTGTTTATATGGGTTTTATGGTGTTAGAAATGGACATATTACAAGCATTTTATTTGCATGAGCTTAAATACTATTGTTTCTGATGGATGTGGCTAGACTTAGATTATACTTTATTTTACTGTCATTTTGAGATTTTAAAATCTATAAATCTTTAACTGTAATGAACATCTATGGGCAATCAGAAACGATAGTAGAACTAAGTAAATTAAAAAATTGTAAGTTACCAACAGGATCTTAAAATAAAAGCCACTTTGGTCACACTTTCATTCAAAGTTGGTAGCGTCCATTGGCCAATGCAAGACAGCAGTTTAAATATTAAAGTAGCATTTTGACTAATTTGTTGCTAGTGGCTCTCAAGTCGGGCTCATTGAAATTTATTTGCACTTAGACAGCTAGCCAAGTGGACTTGTAATAATATACTGTAATAATGTACTGGATCAAAGTCAAGGTGTACTTTCCAGTAATATTTATATGGTGGCATTATACCTTGCACATAGAAATACCAGGAATTAAATGTCAACTCAGAAAATATTCTGTCTTTAAGTACTGGCTCTTGATTAGAGGTGGCTTTTATTTGAGGGTTTCCGTGGTAACTTGCGTGGAATAACTAACACTACTAACTATTGGTTTAATATTGGTTATATTAGCTAACTACTGGTTCACTAATAATTTTCTTCTATGGTGATGGTGATTATTATTATTATTTATGTTACAAACTAAAACTACTGTAAAACTTAAGCTAACAAGTCAAAAATTATTTCAGCTGATTTAGATAATGTATCTGATCTCGGAATGGTCTTTTCTTATAATATGCATGTATAATATAATGTGATTGACTGTCGAATGGCGCTGTTGCTGCTTCATGCATTGCACCAAATTATCAGAAAGTACATGTAGCTATTTTACAGTATTTTACAGTATGTATAGGTTATAAAATGACACTCCTTTTATACATGGTTTTGAAGTCACAAGCACTCTGCACTTCAAAACCATATATAAAGGGTGTGTCACTTTATAACCGGATTCTAACATGGCTATGGGCCCTCCAATAATAAAATGTTGCATTAGATTAACCGATCATGCGTGTTCTTTTGATGATCTACTGTCAATGAAGATCAGCTGACAAAGCCATGTTCTAAGTAACTTCTCTCAATTGATATATGACAGAGAATATAAATTGTGATTCTGGTGATCTGATTGGTGGAGAGCGCATAGCCATGTTAGAAATACATTATACAATTTAATTGTACTTTTTGTTTGAGTAGCATAGTATTCAGTATTGATTAGTGTTTTTTTTGTCCACAGTATCAAAAATGTACCGGTAGTAGTGTTTGTAATATGATACAATGTATATTCACAAAAACTTTCACTTTAAAGAAACACTTATAACTTGTATCTCATTTGTTCAAAACCAAGAAGTAATTTGAAGAAACTCAGATTCTCAAAAAACAGAAATGTCAGAAACACGAAAGAAATTATTCCAAATTATTTATTGAATAAAAAAAAAAGTTTTACACAATTGCCTAACTCCAGCTTCCCTGATTGCTAATTTCACTGAGAGTGTACTTGTTTTTTTATGAACATTTCATAAACTTTCATAACTAACAATACAGAATCAATATTTTGGCACAAAATTTAAGCTGGTAGAGTAAAATACTTTTATAACCAGAAGTGAATCAGTGTTGATCTACCCCCCCCCCCTCGCCCCTCCCACTTGGGAGACTAAGCTGCTTGAAACTTCCATAATTGTATAAATACAACACTACACCACAGTGTATTTCTGACACTGAAGTTTTTTTCAATTTGGATGTAATAGCATTGTACTAACCATACTAATTAAATTTGAGAAAAAATATGTAACCAGACAAATTACATCATCATTTCTATTGCAATTTACCCATTTTAAGTTTATAATGTCATAAAAAAGGGAGAAATAATAATGTGTGCAGAGAATGAAACAATGTTTTTTGTGCACATGCCCTTGTAATGAAAGTGTACCTGTAAGTTGAATGTAAAGTTATGTACCTGCATCACCCTAAATTCATTAAATTCTTCTTGGCCTACTGAAATAAATACACAAATTTTCAAACATTATAGTCTGCTAGGCATCTTTAACTTTTTGAAAATGTCAACTTTTGTTGTCTCTAGAAAAACAAAACCTCTTATTTGTAAAAAGTTAAAAAAAAAAAAAAATATAGAAAAATGTGAAAAATTTTGTGTTCCAAAATGTTAGTGGGAAAAGTTACGGTTTCTAAGGGTAATGTTAAGGTTATACAGTAAATGCAGTGTACTTGTTACGTGTGAACTTAAATATTGGTAGTATCCAAATATATGAATAGGAAGTATTGAGACAACATAGAAAGTGGATATGTAGGTGTGGGAAATGGTATCCTTTTGTCTATTGAAATATATAGATATAGATTTCACGTTCATGAAAAGGTCTATTCCATGGTACACAGAGCAGTGGCAGTCTGGCTGTCTGCAGGCTTGATGTACGAGTATTTCCTGTTATGTATAAACATGTTTTATTTTATCAGTTTATGGCAGCAACTGGTAATGAATCTGCCAAAATGAAATATGAGCAGTATGTGCCTCCATCCTACCGTAGACCCACACATAGAGACTGTCAGTAAGTATTTACAGTCATATTTCAGTTAGTCGATAGATTTTTATAATTATTCTCTGGGTTTTATATTTTCTAAATGGCTATATGCTCTAGATTTAGAACCCAGTGAAATATGCAATGTTAATAACTGAATGCATTTTTTTCGTAAAAAATCAGTTAACGTAAAACCTGGTGAATATTTTTACATCAAATTTAACTAATAAAAATGTTTTCCTTTACAGTTTTCTTGGTATGCTAATTTTTGTGGTGAAGGATATCTTTATTCTGTATCAAACTATGCAATTGGTTATCAAAACAAAACTATTTAATAATTTGTTTAAGCTTACTTGCCAAAAAGACTTTTGTCGAAAAAAAGTTTTTGAAAAATCATATGAATGAAATTAGGTAGATAAGAATTACATACTGTATATATAAAGGTTCTTGTATTGTAAATGTATTTATTGTTATTTGTTTTAGAGTATTAAGAGAACAGTGGATCCGTGCCAAATATGAGAGAAATGAATTTATGGATGTAGAAAGACAGTCTTATCTGTCAGGAATCAAAGAAGGGTTGCTGTGGAAACGGGGAAAAGATGACAGCAAATTTCAGCAACGATTATTTATGCTTAATGAAAAAGAAAATGTACTAAAATATTATGTCAAACGAGATGTAAGTATAGCATGAATCATCATATGCAAGGTAAAAACCCCTAAGCTTGAGAATTAAATTTGAACCCCTAAGCTTGTGAATTAAATTTGAACCCCTAAGCTTCTGAATAAAATTTGTATCTTGCAGGGTAAAAACCCCTAAGCTTGCAAATTAAATTTGAACCCCTAAGCTTGCGAATTAAATTTGAACCCCTAAGCTTCTGAATAAAATTTGTATCTTGCAGTGGCAAGAATCTCTAAGATTGTGAATATTATGTACTTTAAGGGAGGTGATCAAAATCAAACCAGCGGTTTCCGGTCCGGTATCCCAAGAGCTCCGCCAAACGAGCTTCACTATCACTATCGTACTTCCCAGAGTATAAGCCCAGGGGCCTGAACATATAAAATCGGAAAAAATAAGGGGTGGACTTATACTCGAGGATCACCTCGAAAAAAAAAATTTTTTGGTGCGTTTAAAACTGTAACCATCTTCCCAGCCTCGAAAATTATCCAAATTACATTTTTCGTTCACAGCACCGGTCTCGGAGGAATATTCGTCTTTTTTAGAAAACAAAAATGCGAAACGAATCGTCATTGATTTCAACGACGTTTTTTACAATGAAGAAACAAATATGAACAAAAAACAAAAATTTTATTACAATACGGTTCACATACCGTCTGAATTTACGGTGCAAAAATGGGCAGGGTCTGTGGGAAAACTGTCGAAGGCAAGATCAAGCGCAAACTCTCGATACAAAGCTATTTCCGCCATGGTTTCATCATACTTTGACCTGAACAACTTCCTTTGACCTGGTCACGTCTTTCGTTAACCAATGAAAATGCTCTGTCATACAGTAGAAGTTTTCCGATTATTGACGAAGTATTTTTATCAACGCAATGCGGAAGTGTATTACCGCGATGTTAAAATGCGATCTGTTAACACTGATTTCGACAAAAAACGGCTACTTTTTTCCCTAAAAGCTGTTGATTCGCAATTTTTGAAAGGTAAACTGAGGGTAAGGGAAGTATTTAAACCTTTCACGGCCACCAACATGTCATGTCGAAGAATAGTTTGCTCTTTCACACCCCATTCACGATAGTCTTAATGGACAAGATTATTCGGAAAGGTAAAACGATGATAGTGACCAGGTTTCACAACTTGACGATCACATTTTTGCCGTTTGGAAAACTACTACTCAAAAGAAATATGGATTATTTCAGTATTGCAACATCGGGGTTCATCCTAAGTAAATAACAGAATAGAAAACGTGCGAACTATGTACCTTCGCCCGCCATGCACTCTGAAATTATTGCGAGTTTTCTCGTATAAGCTGGAACCAAACTACCGTACCAATCATGATTTTTATGCAATGAAGTACACTTTTTACATGCATATTTTAATAAATGTTGTTGACGCCCGGTAAAAACACCCTGGGCTTATACTCGGGGATGCCTTCAACTTGTTAAATGCCCAAAACAGAGGGGTGGGCTTATACTCGAGAGGGGCTTATACTCGAGAGGGGCTTATACTCGGGAGGGGCTTATACTCGGGGGAAGTACGGTAATCAGCCTTTAATGAGGTCACCGGGAAAACGAACATTACGAACAGTTTCAACAAATCAATTTAAGATTAACGTCTGTGTTCAAGGAGCCAATGTCTTGTCAGAGATTTCCCATTTCCCAACAACAAGGCAAATATTTATGGCCGTAATTTTGTGAAATCTATGCAAAGGCATTCAGAGACAGAATTATTATTGTCTGGTTCAAGAAAAAGCCACTGGCGCACATTTGAACTTCTGACCTAGGTTTAACAGGGATGCATAGTTCTGTTTTTTTGGCGACATTATACAAGTTTTTATAGCGAACCAATATGTTTTGTTTTTATTGAGAAATAAGCAGAGTACAATTTTTTATTTTCGTGCGACCCACTATAGTTAGTTTTTGAATATTAAATATTTAAGTAAGAGTCATTTATGATACAAATTTTTATGGTTTGTTGTATTCACGCATGAATTGGTTTTACTTGCTGTTATTAATTTTTTTTTATATCATACCTTGGCCAAAATTAGATGCCTATACATCTGATTAAATTAGATTGGTACATATAATGTTGATGTTTTTGCTGTTTTTTCCTCCCATAAATCTATTAAATGTGAATATCATTTTTTGATTTCCTGAGCAGGCAAATCAACCAAAGTGTTCAATAAATTTATCTGAGGTAAATGCCACATTCTGTCCAGACAAGATAGGAAATCCCAACGGTATGCAGTTATCTTTTATTAAAGATGGAAGCACAAGGAATATTTATGTCTATAGTGATGACGGACAGGTAATATCGATTAACCTTTTCACTACCAGACTTTCTCGTCCAAATTTGTCTGCACTTTTTTCTCGTATTCTTAAATATTTTTTGAAATGAACCCTAATTTTGGAGCCAACAGGCAAAAATTTAGTGAATTTTCAGTTTTTACTCAAAAAATTTGGCTATATTTGTCCCAATCTTCTGAAGGAAGGTGCAGACTATAAACGGGACTATTTTGTGAATTTGTGATGAAAATAGGGAACAAGTGGTGAAAAGATTAAAAAGCAATTTAATATAAAGAGCCAAAATTCAGTGCAAATATTTTCACATTTTATAATATTTCATTTTCAATCATACAGTTTCAGATATTGCTTTTAGTTTTTGATCAAAAGGTTTGTCAAATTTATATCAGTATTTTTAGGTGGAGAGGAGCAAACTGTAGAAACTCAATTTGTAGATGGTGTTGAAAGTTGACAATGGCGCTTAAATGTACCTTACATCAATGAAACTTTACTGGAGTAGAAATTGTTAGCGATATTTATTACATTTTATCCTCGCATTGAAATAATAAACGAAAATGATAGCAAAAATTCAGCAATTCACTTGAACAGTCATTGTAAAAAGTAGGAATATTAATTACGTTCAAATCAATACTGTGGTATACCAACCAAATATGCTAAAACACCTGAATGGTGTAGTAAACATTACATTTAATTATAAATACTTTTGTTGTCTATTGTTATTCCTCTAGGATATAGTTGATTGGTATAATGCTATACGATCAGCTAACTATAACAGACTGAAAACCGCTTACCCTGGTGCCAGCGATGACGATGTAAGTATTTGGTTTGTCAGGAATTATACCGTACATGCTTTGGTCTATAGCGATTGACAGTGCAAGCAGTCAAACCGCCATACTTGAGTTTTCTAATTTAATACCCTCTTCAACAAAATATCGATTGTATACTGTTTTATATTTTTTGTATTATTCAATTTAGATTTCTTCAGAATTTATGCACTTTACTGGTGATGTTTGGTGAAAGATGCTTTGTGTATATCACTGTGTTACTTTAAACTCTCAAAATAGTGGTTATGAATTTTCATGACTTTTGTTTTTATCACCATTTAACACCATATTTGGGGGGGGGTCAAAATGGCCGCCGTTCAGCCTTTTAGAAATTGTGAATATCAAACTGCTTTTTTAGTTATTTTTTTTGAAACAGATAAATTCATCATACCTGACAAAAATATTGAGCAAATGAACATCAAGGGATGGTATACCAATTTTATGGAGATATTCAAAGAATAAAAAGCATAACTTTATATTGGACATTGTATGCAAATTATATGCAAATGTGAAAACCTAATAAACAATCTTGCTGTTTTTGTATGTGTAAATTGAGAGTAAACTTTTAAATATTCTCGGAAGAAATTCAAGACATGTGATGACAAATTGGAATGTCTGTCATGTGTTCAATATGGGTCCCATGTGATGTGAGTGAAATGCTTAGCCTTGCTTGATAACAGAAGGAACTAAAAAAAGGATGAAGGGTATATTGGGGGTATAGCGAAAATAAAGCTAGTGAGAGTATGAAAAATGTGAATGGATGAGGAAACAAAAAATTTCAATTTTGAGAAAAAAACTCAAAAATGCTTATACAAGAATTTGATTGGCTGAAAGCAAGTGTTGCCCAGTGTAACTAAATTGCATATCCTGGTAGTTCAGTGCGTTTACAAAAATGGATCCGTGACTCAATGATTAAATCCTTATTTATGTTTAGTATTATAAATTCTGTTCCCCTTGTATGTCTGTAGTTGAACAATAAATTAACCAGGGATTACAAAATAGAAGGACAGTTGTATAAAACCGGACCAAGAGGAACCGGTTTTAAGAAAAGATGGTTCACACTTGATGACAGAAGATTAATGTATTTCTCTGATGCTTTAGTAAGTGTTAAGTTATATTTTCTTTCTCTTTACCATCTTTTGACAACTACCGGTACCTCGGTACATCATAATCTCCCTTGATCTATAAAATTCAAAATGGCAACTAAACTTGTCATGGCCACCACCAGCAGAATCTTTTTGGCAAGATGAAAAATGTGAATTGGTTACAATATAACTAAATCAGACTTCATTTGCAGAAATATTTGAGATACAAATTTGAATTTAAGTAGAATAACACAAAATCAAATTATTTCAAAACAAATCAAGCTTGTGTATAAGACATTGCATTGAGCTCAAAATTTTTTTTATTAATTTTTTTAACATTAATTTTGGACCAAATGGACATTGTTTCCCATTGCCTACAGTTCTTTATCCGAAGTGTTGATAAAATTTGCCAAAAATTCATTTTGTTGAATAAATTTGTCATTATTTGCATTCAAAAGCCTAGGATCATGAATAATACAGTTACTATTAAACGCAACACATTGATTTTGTCATGATTTTCCGTAATCAATGTGTTCAGTTTGTGACATGAATGATTCAAAATATGTATCGTGCCACGGTATATGTGACTTTAAAGCCATTCATTGCAGTTAAATTATTTATTTTAAAGTTTTCTTGTGGTCATTATTCATTTACTGTTTGTCCGCAGAATGCCCACGCCAAAGGGGAAGTGTTCATTGGATATAAAGGGGACGGGTACAATATACGAGAAGGTTTTCCCCAAGGCATAAATCAAGTGACAAATTCGTTCCCTTTTACGCTGGTTACACCAGACAGGGACTATTATTTCTGCGCTGAAACCAAACAGGACCAGGAGGATTGGATTAACATGTTTAGGAAAACAATAGATAGAGTGTTGTACCCACAAGACCAATGTGGTAGGTTTAACACCAAACGTAAACGCTGACAATTTAGAAATTTCTGTACTAGTAGACATTAGTAAAACATCAGTTTTTCACACATGCGACATATATCATAGTTAACAGACTGAGATCAACAGTATTGTGTATTCAATATCATAAAAAAATGATATGATTACTCAGAATATGATTGATTAAAACTATTGCAAAAATCTGAATTCCATCATTTTATTCTAACCAGATTCTTCACATCTAAATTTTTTTATTCTGTGACACTGTAGTTGTTATTGTGTTAACATTTCAATAAATTTAAAGTTAATAAACTAAAAATTAATTCATCCTCTATTTATAAAATTGGTCACTATCTGTTCCAGTCATTTTGATTTATTTTATTCTTACAAAGCTAGTTTAATACAAGACTGTGTCTGATTGGATACCAAACCTTAACACCTAACAATCGGACCAGTTTGCTTTTAAAAATCTTCAATTTGTATTTTAATAATCAAGTTTGGACGATAAAAACTGTTCAGTTAAATAATTGGTAATTTTGACAAATCTACTTGTTCTCTTGAAATCTGGTTTGATTCTGAATCGGAATTGAATTGAATATTTGTAATCTGCTAATATAATATATATTCACAAGATTCAGTATATTCAGTTTTTTTGTGGAAAAACAGTTATTGTCATTGTCAGTTTCATGTCTTTTATACTGCAGTTGTCAAGACATGTATGTTTATTTCAAGCGATCAGTGTTTTGCTTTAAAGGGCATTGATTAGTGATCTGTCCTGTTCAATGTGGGGACCATATTGACGTATACGACACATGTGAAATACATCGTTCTGTTTAACATGAAATTCGAAATTTAAACATGCGTTGTATGACGACCACCATCCATTTAACCCTTCGAGTGACTATCACAGAATTATAAAAAAAAAAAGAATATTGAAAAGAAATATTGAAACAGGTGAAATTTAGCCAATAAAATTATTGTGTTAAAGGGTTGATGTCCTGCAAACAATGTATTTTACACAAGTTTTTAATCTCCCATGGAACCATGTCAAATGATATGATATGATGTGATGATGATGTGATGATGATGTCACTGTAGCCTGTATGTAATTCATCATTGAAAGCTTTAATTGTATTTCAGAATTTTATATATATAAAACAATTGCTAGAATTCCTTCAATGTTTAAAAACAAAATTGTGTGTTTCCATTTTACAAAGAATATTAACAATCATGCTTTTTTCCCCCCGACAATTGTACTTTATAAGTAGTTAAGGATATTTTATGAATTTTTAGTGTGTTAAAGTTTTTAACTTAAAATTTGGTATCCATATGCTATATGCCTCTAGGGTACAAATCTTGTTCCAGATACATCCTGGTAATCAATCGTATCGGTAACTTGTGTTACAGACAATTTTCTAATATGTTAGATTGCAATTAAACTAGATATAGTTTGCGGTGGTGTAAACCAGTCGATGTATTTTATAAATGGAGGAAATCTCAACAAACAATGAATTTTTATAATCAAATTTGTAAACTTTTTTAATGATATGACTTGCTCAAATTTGTTTTTCAAAGAAATCTGTTTAAAATGTATTGCATGTACATTGTGTGTTTTTGGTTTGTCTGAAGTAATTTATTTCTCTAGATATATTCACTGATTTACCCATTCCGAGTGAAAATGAAATATTCAAGATGGTGTGATTTTTTTTTTTTTAGGTTTTGTTTTAAAAAAAATTTTTTTTTTTTTTTTTTTTTTAGATCAGTTTATTTTATTATTCCCTGTTCGAACACAGTCTGAAAACGGGGACTTATGTATTGACCTCTGTGCTTGCATCCATCCGTGCATCTGCCTGGCCCGATTACATTCAAAAATCACAAATACATAATAATAATATACATATATGCATATCAATTTGTTTCACGATCTGATTCAAGATGGCCGAATGGTGAAAAGTTTTAAATTTGACAACTAACAGGGACTGTGCCATGCATGGCTTGTTTATTCGCTTTTTCTCTTTGTATAGTTCTTGGTACATTATGCATCCCATTACTAACATTAAGGCTAAAAAAAAGGATATTTTTCCTGGTCCTAAAATAGAATGTTTTTTGCTGACCAGAATCAAATCATTTTTTTTAACCACATTCATTAATTCATTCTTTGTGTGAACTCTGGGAACCTTTTATGAAATAAACCCAAGGAATTTTATCCTTAATATATTTTTTTTAGTATTAAATATTGAGCAGAAATGTAGGTAGTAAAAATTAAATGAATGCATTTGCAAATGTTGCATCAACATTTTGGCGAGTTCAAACTGTTAAACTTATTGAGTTTTCATATTTTCATCATGCATATGCTTTCAACAAATTCATGCAAACAATTCTGAGTTATGAATTTGGATTAAAAGAAAACTATTAGTAAGTAAAAATATAGCTTCTCTAAAACCACTTGCCCAATTACTTTAAAATTTGGTTTGTATTACTTTCATTTGTTTTTGATAAATCAAACAAAATGAATGTTTATTTTGTACATTGAAATTGGCTACATTGATCATATTGAATTCACAAAAATAACAAAATGTTTGAAAAAATGATCAAAAACAGAAAAATCATTTTGTATCTGTTGAAGGTACCTTCCAGTTTGAGAAGCTCATTGCGATGTGTCGTTCTTTGTCTTTGCCTAAAAAAAAAAAATGGGGGTTCACAATTTTACAGAAATACATTACATCTTTATTTGGTTGGGATATTAAATTGCAGAAGTTGATTATACTCGACAGAAAAAGTATTATCTAGCTCTGTTGTGGGTAAGCTGGAACTGAAACATGATGCTTTCATACCTAAGCCCTGACTAATTAATTCGGTCAATTTCAGTAGTATTATTTCCTTTCATGAAAACAATTATTACATATATATATACTTTCAATTATTAATTTAATATTAACCTTATTAACCATCGAGTTCCTACTTGATTCTTCTTGCATGACTAACAGCATGTTGTGTTCATCTTTTTATCTCTTTACTAGTTGCTGCAAAATTTGTTCACAAGCGCAACAAACCTCTTCAGGGTATCGTCAGTATTAAGAATAAACTGACGTAATAATGAGGTTTCGCCAATGTGTGTTACAGTCAACCCCAGTACTGTCGTTCTAGAGTCATCTCCAATGGACAAGACGTGGGCAAACGGGTGAATCAAATCGATCTGCTTTGAAACATGATGTAGAAAGTCAGCCTATTTTGACTAATGGAATCAAGATAATTTCTCCCATCAATTTATCTTGATCAGTTACTAGATAATGTAATTCCTGAAAGGAAAAAAACATAAGGAACTGCTTTTTGACAGAGTCTTTGTGGTTACCCTATCTGTCTGTCTGTATGTATGTAGTCAATTTTCAGCCTTTCCACTGATTATATCTTGTATACCAATCATCACATTTCAATAGAATTTACATGGATGTCATAGGACAATGAACATCCCTGAATGGTTTTTGTTTAAACTTCATGCATATCAATAACCTAATTTGCATAATTAGCCAGTTTTCGGCTTTTACACTGATATCTAATCTAATACTAATCGTCCCATTTCAATGAAACTAATAATTACCCAATTTTCTACCTATATCTCAAAAACCAATTACTAGTATTGTATTTCAATAAGACTTTGTAAATAAGTACCTGGGAACGATGCTAAAAACCTAATTAGTTTTGAATTGAAACTTGAGCATACTAATTGATTCATTTGCATAATACGAATAATCATCATTGAAATTTGGTTCATAGATACTCTGGCGTAATCCACAGACGTGATTAATTTAATGTTGAAAAAAACAAGCATATTGATTGTTATTATTAGCAAATTTCTCAAAAAAATCTGATTTAAATTTATTATCTGCAAGTATTATAAACTTCAATACTGTGCGTCACATTGTTTTCACGTTGCGCATCTCAAATAGACAAATATTAGTTGCCAAGCTCCTTGTTTAAAAATTTTAAATTAATTTTTAATATACTCTCAGCACACAGGAGTTCTTTCTAAGCTTTCTTTGATATTATTAAATAGTATGCATTATAATTATATTAAGTCAAGTATGAGGCTACATTTTTGCCAGGTATTTAACTATAAAGCAAACAAAAAGTATAATTATGAGCAATAGAACAGGCACATGCAACTTCACCATACTTCATGAGAGAGAGACTTCAGGAGAGATAGATGGTTATCATGAATTCCATGTTTGATATTCTATTGCAAAAACAGAAAGTACCAAGGTCATTGTCGTATACAAAGGTGTAATAAGCACGTAATACACGTTTTGCAAATAAGCAACGACACTTCACGACTGTTTTAGTGGTTCATTTAGGAATCAGAACATTTGCCAAACATATTTATTGGAGTTGTAGCGTATTTAAACAGATATTCATTAGAATGCTTTATTTCATGGTTGTTGTTTTTTTACCTAACACAGTGTTTAAGGATCACTCATGGACATATTTATAGCACCTTATCTTCAACTTTGATTGACCCCCCCCCCCCCAACAAACAATTTGTGTACTGTAAAATACTTTATTTTAGCTGGAATTAATTTTGGCTGAAAAGACATTTAGGGTGTTTTGTATGGAATTTATTTTCACTGATTTTTGACAAGTTGAGTGTAAAATATAGGAAAAAAGATATATTCGATAGATTTTATTTTCACTGAATCATTTCTTCAGCGAAAATAGCGAAAATTAATTCTGAGCGAAAATAAAGTATTATGCTTTACCATGAAAGCCTCCTGACTCAGTGTCTATTGTTTACAAATATACATGTAGCTTATTTTAGGAGAGCTATTTATTCATATTCTGTCGTCTCAAATCTCTGCATTTAATGGATATATATACAGGTATAAAATAGTCTGTTTCGGTGGTTTATTTAATAAAGTCTTAACTCCTGATGAGTGAGGTACTCCATGTATCTTACGAAACAGTACTGTCGAGTGAACTTTACTCATGTAGTAGTGTCTTAATTTCTCTGTCACGTACGTATGTATACAGGTATATATATATATATACACACACACCACACTAGCATATATATTGGTCACGGATGGGTACTGCATAAATTTGCAAAGTGAGAATGAACAGTAGAATTTAATTGTACATATATTATGGTTTTTATTTCGCTATTTTCACTGATAAGTGAAGTCTGCTAAATTAAATCCAAACGAACATGTAAAATAACAAAGTTCATTGATTCCTGTTAAGTTCGTCAACTTAAAACCCAGTAAAAAAATGATCAAAATAGTGCAATTAAATGGTTTTACAGTACAATGCATTAACAATACCATGCATGCATGCAAAACAATTTTTTAGTTTATAAAATTACACAATCCTTGATGTTGGTCTATTAAAATTAAAGGGCGGCAGTCGTCGTGCCGCATCCTGTTCGATATGGGACTCATAGCGACGTATACAACGCGTGTAAAATGCATTGTTTATTTACATGAAATTCGACCACGCGTTGAGCGACGACCACCGCGCTTTAACAACTTTTATACATAGAACTGAGACCAATATACATGTATAGTTTTTTCCCTGCACTATTTTTTCCTGACCATCTGTTCTTCTGTATAATACTTTTGTACTGCATGCTGGGTTTGCAATGTCAACCATTTAAATATTTCTTCAGTAATTTGACATTCCAATGTAACTTCTTGAAAAACTTCACTCAATGACACCTTAAATAAATAAAAATAAACTATATTAAGTACTTGATTGTATGCACTTCATTTTGTTAAGGCTTTTATAGCATTTTATAAAAACTGCTTTCTTATGAACCCGTGTGTGTGACAATTATGTTATGCAAATGTTAGGCACATGTGTAAAATTGGTATAGGTTTGAGGAAGCTAGAAACAAGACGAGTGGGTGTATTTCTGTGGTTATTGTGAAATTAGATTCTAATGTTCTGACATGTGCATGAGTTGACCCCATCATCACATAGAAGAACTTATCTGAAAGTTTCACTTTTATGTGACGTATCTGATGCCTGACTGTTAATGCAAAGATTCGGCATAGTTTCCAAATCACTGTCGTACTAAGAGACGAATCGTCAATGTTCATGCGTCTAAACACTGTTCAAAGGCATTTACAAATTTTAACATGCAATTATATGAACCCTAAACTATCATTGAGACAGGCTGAATATTGTTGAAATTTTGATTTTTACTAATTATTACATCAAATATTTTACATAATAAATTTTACATTCCCAAGACCCCAATAAGTCTTTAGGAATGATCTTGGAGTGTAACTTTAATAGATGAATTGTCTTCAACCTGAATATGCTCATTCCTAATCCATTTTAGTTTTTTTTTTTTTTAAAGTTTCTAATGAGGGTCATTCATCTTTGACCAAGATCTGGTCAAGTACATGGATAAGGATTAAATTTTTTCATTTGTAATTCAGTTAAGATTGAAGAAGCTGTTTTTGGCATACCTGAGTAAACCCAATCTTCTTAAACAGTGCAAGACTGTTTTCATTTTGGCAACCAATCTTAGCAGTGTAGGTTCTTACTTTCAATTCTTGTATACCTGTTGGGATGGGCAAAGATATACACAAGGTTACATAAAAATCCTGGGCTTTCTCAAAAAGATAATATATATTTTTACAAACAACAGATCATTGAAGCCATTTGAAACACGCAATCTGTTGTTATAATTGTAGTTTAATATCAGTGAATTATTCATAATCACGAATGGACTTATTTTAGGCTAATTGTTGAAAAAACACCACAAATTTGACCAAAATACATGCATTTACAACAGCTAAACATGTAAGTGACTTTAAAGCGGGAGGGTCGTCACCTGTGCACGTGTGGAAATTGAGTCCCAAGCGACGATAACGCACGCTAAAAACGTAAAGGCTCATGGGTAGACGCTTGTTTGTAAACAATGACACGCCATGGCCATCTGACGTATGCGTAGGTGATGACTCCCCCTACTTTATTAAACCTTATTGTTTAGAGTCTGGTATACTTGCCATAATTCATCATTAGCAATAAAGCCTCCTTTCCAAATCCTTTACCTCGACAACTGTTCTCTGGATCAATATACAAGAAAAGTTGAAAATATTACATAAGCCTAAGGTCACGTATCTGTTTACTTCCTGTGATGAGAAATTAATTATCAACGCAAAAGTTTAATTATACAATGCAAGCTGTTGCCAAGTTCAAGAACATTTATAGACAGGAAATCAGAATTTATACTTTGTACTGTACTTCCAAAAGTACCAGGATGTATGACCTTTGGAGGCATAAAGCAGATATAAACCGCAAAATCTCAGACTATCTACATATTCAATTTTAGCTCCCACCCCAGAAAATAAACAGAGCAGAAAATATCAATACACTATAGTGTGTTAATAAGTGCTTTCCATTTGATAATGTAATCGATATGAATATTTTCATTTGACAGCTTCTAAGTTTCAATGATTCACAGTCAATTCGTCTAGTTCACATTCGTCCCAACTCTTTTGCCCCATAACTATTTGTCAGCCTTACGATCTTGTGCAGGATGATGTTGGTTTCTAAGTTGGTGTGCTATATTTATAAGTGTGCTAGATTTGACCGTATCTATCCTGGGTTCGGCCAACAGCGTTTACTAGTTACTAGACTTAGTTGATGTATCAGAATTTTGTTTAAACATTACACATGCAAACTGTAAATCTAAACACTATAATCTAGAAATACGAATAACTTGATTCGACAATTGTTGCACGTATTGGACAAGTTAGTATTGGGCTAACATAATAAATCGTACAAATCGACTTTGGGATGAATAAACTTGTGCGATGAATAAACATAACAAGTTTGTATATAACATACCAGCAATCATTATTTCAATCTCTGCTGTAGAATTGTCATCTTGGGAATTGAAAAATAAATTGACATCCCCACACATACAGTCTACAATTACAAAGGAAAGGGTGATATCACTGTAGCATTGATTAAACTATAATACTTATGAAAACAAAAACAAATCACCTGCTAAAATTGTAGTGTCATACCCCGAGTATAGACCAGAGCGATGTATAGTAGTACTATATGTACTGACCAGTGGTATATACTATATGAGTAAAACAGTGACATACTATTTTGTGTAGACATATACTATAGAACAGTGGCATAGTATGTGTATAGACCTGTGACATACTGTGTGTAAACCTGTGAAATACTATGTGTGTAGACCTGTGACATACTATGTGTATAGACCTGTGACATACTGTGTGTAGACCTGTAACACACTGTGTGTATAACCCTGTGACATACTATGTGTGTAGACCTGTGACATACTATGTGTATAGACCTGTGACATACTATGTGTGTAGACCTGTGAAATACTATGTGTGTAGACATATGACATACTATGTGTGTAACCCTGTGACGTGTGTAACCCTGTGACATGTGTGTAGACCTGTGACATACTATGTGTGTAGACCTGTGACATACTATGTGTGTAGAACTGTGACATACTATGTGTTTGTAGACCTGTGACATACTGTGTGTGTAGACCTGTGACATACTATGTATGTAGACCTGTGACATACTATGTGTATAGACCTGTGACATACTATGTGTATAGACCTGTGACATACTATGTGTATACACTATGTGTGTAGACCTGTGACATACTATGTGTATAGACCTGTGACATACTATGTGTATAGACCTGTAACATACTATGTGTGTAGAACTGTGAAATACTATGTGTGTACACCTGTGACATACTATGTGTATAGACCTGTAACATACTATGTGTGTAGAACTGTGAAATACCATGTGTGTACACCTGTGACATACTGTGTATA